CCTTTAATGTTAGTCTACCTTCCGTCTCAAACAATAGGATCGCTTTATCTTCTTTGTCTATCGCTTTCAATAATCATCCCGCTGAGATTACAAGAGAATGCGGCCACTGCGCTTGGACAGGAATGTTGTAAAGCCTCTAAAGAGGAGAAATTATTCTATAAAAGGCAAGATTTTTTTGGAAAAAATCCTCACTGAACGATGGTAATCGGCGAATGACTTCAAGACAGAGGTATTTTCACTTCAGATTATACGTGCAATATTTAATTAGTTACCGCAAACTGGAAAATGAACGCGATTTTCATTATTTCACTGCATGTTAAAGATACACGCATGCGAGCGCAATTCCTGCAATAAAGCATTTTTATGCATGGGCGTGGCCCAATGATGCAGTCATGAGGATTAGAACAGAGACAGATCCAGTTATTCCTGGTATTCATTGTACGGTGATACTGCAAGTGAAGGGACTGCTTTTAGATCTGCCTAAGTCGATCAGGGCGTTGCTATGATATGACTTGAACCGATTATTTTCCAAATGACGCGAGCGGCGTTTGAACCTATGGCGCTTACGTCATTTGGAAAAAATCGCTACACTTGCCTCCCGGATGTAGACACACTAGTCTTGTGTCTCAAACTTTCGAAGAAAAATTGTACACAACTTTTCTTATAAATATCTTTCATCAAGGGAAATTTATCGACGGCGACGCTTGAACATTCATACGATGTTCATTCTCACGACGGCAGCGGGCTGATTATTAAAGTTTATAGACAAAGCTATGACAAAGAAGACTACTGGAAAATGGGGCGATCTTGATGGTTGAAACGAGTGGTTGTCTCAGGGTAAGTGGAGAAATGTTGGACTAACTATGGGATCTCTCGTAGGTTGCCATTAGTTAGTCTACCTCCTTTGTCCATTGCATCCAAAGGGAGTCTACTAAAAAGGCTGGCCAAAAATCAGTATTTTTACAGTACTTTTTCAGTGCATTCTCAAGAAAACCAGTACCTCCTCAACAGAAAAATTCAATACTTTTTCGGTGCCTCTATTTGACGGAAATCGAAAAATTTCGAAAATTCGACTTTCTCGCTCAAATTGTGACAAAAGGACGAAACTTCCGGACCTTCTTGCGGAATTTCTGCACTTTTTCAGTAGTTCCGGATCGCCTGTAAAAAATCAAAACTATTTCCGGAGGCTTGCATCTTCTCTTTGTCTATAGCTTTGTCGATTATCTTCAATATTAAGCCTACAGAATAACCGATCGCTATCGGGAAATGGAGGCTCCTCTCCGGGCCGGGATTTTCAGACACGTGACGTTGAAGCGACGAAATTTGCGGACGCATCAGCTCTCGTTAACCGACGTGAAAAAAACAAGGTGCTTACGTCAGACAATACGTCGCGCGTGAACCGTTGATTGGGACGTCGTTCGCGGGAGGCTGGGAAAGCAGTGCGTCACACGCTCTCCCCCACCGACCCCCACCGTCCCCCGACGTCCCCCTTTTGGAACAGGCCGGGCAGGGAGGCTAATCAGCGCTATACGTAGAGCTGACATAAAAACCTTACGTCTGTCGGATCTAACGCATCGGCACGTTTTACGTAACAGATCAAATTGGTTAATTTATTGCTGATAGGCACAGATGTTCAATAATTGGTAACACAGAAAAAACAGCGCTTCATACGACACACTAAAGTTTCACGTCCGTAGAACCGAAGTTTCGGCCATTAAATCCGAGCCTCACTTCCTGTGACTGAGGTTTCAGCTTCGGGTGTCAATTAAAACTGTCTGGCAAAAAATGTAGTACTTTTACAGCAATTTTTCGGTACTTTCAAAAAAAATTCCAATACCTGCTCAGCAGAAAAAATTCCGTACTTTTTAAGTACATTTATTTAAGGAAATTTGAAAAATTTCAAAATTCACGCTGGCTCCGGATCCCATCACGTGAAGTAATCAGACGCATTGTTTGGCGCATGACGTCGCCTGAAGCTCATCATCTACCAAGTAGGTAGGTCAACAGCCGAAAAAAGAGTGATGACTATTGCTCCCTTATAATTTTCCATAGGGAGGTGTTGAGTCCCCGAGAGTAAAAGCTTCCACCTGTCGTCAAGAGGCCAGTGGAGTGTCTCTTGTTTCTGGAGGTAATCCACCCCGTGCAACTGATAACGAGATGCGTTTGTGCTGAACGGAACCACGTACAGAAAAATTGAAACGAAACGAGCTATTAAGCGCGTTAAATGTGCATAGTAGTTTTTGATCTAACTTGCTAGTGCACGAGGGGCTAAGATGCCGGAGTCGAGTGGTGCGGTGTCGCGGTGGCAAGTGCATGACCCAATTCGTGGCCATTGTCAGGACGGCTGATGAGATGATGAGATTGGCACGGCGTCTCTCACCCGCGGGAGGAGAGGGGCCCGGGCCGCCAAGCGCCGGGACGCCTCCAGTAATGGCCACCGACGGAGCCTCATCACTCGATCGCCGAAATTCGACGCCAACGACGCCTGTCCCCGCCTTTCTCCGATGGCTAATTGCCGAAATTTCGATCAATTTTAAGCACACGGGCGAGGTTGGGGAAATTTCTAATGGAGGGGGGGGAGGGGGGAGAAAGGATCCACTTTTTCGACAACAAGAGGATCTCTTGGTTTTGAGCGACTACATACGCAAAACTTTCTTAGGAGCTCTTAGGGCCGAAAAGGGCAGCCAAACTATTAAGTTAAATTGTCAACAATGATTTATTGTCGCAATTGTTCCCACCCACTGTTTGGGAAGCACGAATTTGACTTATAGTTTACGCATAAATTTACTCATTTTTGGGGAAGCGTTTTTCGTGTTGGAAGGTTGCCAACCCTTTCAGACCCTAAGAGCTGCATATTTCGACATGCCCGTATTCTACCTGTATGCTCTGCTGCAGATGCTCTACAGCATTTTAAAGTTCGATTGAAGGATTCGTCAATGCGTCGCTCCCATGGTGTAAGGACGTATCTCGATTCCCGCATGAGCTCCAAAAAGCATGGATTTAAATGTAAAACAGGTCTCACGTGGAAATTACGATACACCTTAACGTCAGAGGGGCGCGGAATGGAGATGAGCTCGCCGTCCAGCGACATATGAGCTTTCCGATGATAAAAGCAATTCGGGCGGCCGGCCGGGGGTCCGGCGGCATTTTGTAAGCTGTAATTGCTTTCGGTGAGAGTTGAGACAGGGCGTTTTCCGGTTTATTTCCCCGCGCGCGGGACATGCGACGTTATTGGAGTCCACTTCCACTTTTCATCAAAATTACGAATCGATAGGGCGCATGCACTCTCTCTTTCTTCGCGCCCGCGGTTGCTGTGTCATCAACTGGGTCCGCTCAGGAGGCGCGTGCGCCGGGAGCGGTTCGGCGTAACTTGGCAGCAGCGCCGGTAGCATGGATGTGGAAGTCGTCGTGCGAATCGATACGATATCCAATCGGAACGAATGAAAACCACTTACTCCCTGAACAAATAGACCACGTATCGAACAATGACCATTGAATTGAGAGAAAGCGTTGTGCGCCGCTGCGCTCTAGTGGTCCTGGTCCGAGGTCCGAGGTCCGACGCGCTGCGGGGCAACGGGCAGCCGCGTCTTTTCGGCGCGGCCGCGGTATGGTCCTCCGGGCCGGATGACTACGGCTCTGATAACGGTTCCGATAGCCGGGAGTCAGGCGAGGGAGGTGACAAATCACGACGTCGAAGACGAGGCGCCGGTCGCGTGGACGCAACGAGCGTTCTCGACGGTAAACAACTCTCGTAGGCAACTCTTCCAGCGGATAAAGGTAGATCCTCACCTTTATCTTAATAAATTCTGCGTGCGATCGATGTATTATGATTTCTAACCAATTTAAAAAGGTGGATTATTTGGGAAGAATCGGAATTACAATCTCTATAGCGATCATTGGGAATTTGTCCAAACGGAAACATGCACTGGAAAAAAAAACACACATTGGATCTGGAGTCCAGACTCTTAAAAACATCGAAAAGAAAAAATACTCTTGTTAAATCAGATTTAAGCTTAAATCAAGAACCCAGCCTCTTAATTTGAGCGGATTTCCTTTTGATTTAAGCTTAAATCTGATTGAATCAAGAGTCCTTTTTCTTGTCAATGTTTTCAAGAGTCTGGACTCTAGATCCAATGTGTTTTTTTTTTCTCCAGTGTGGGGACCCAGTCTCTAGGAAAGAACTGGCGACACTAGAGATCGGGCACGTTCCTTTCCGGAAAACGCGAACTGCACTAGTCGCGGTTACTTGGACGAAGAAACGTATCTCCATTCCACGGTTGCCAAACTGACTCGGACGGTTCATTTTTTTTACAAAAATGTACCGGTGCGATAATTGCGATATATTTGTCCAAAATGTCTCTGATTTTTGCACAAGATCGGAAAAAATCCAGCAAAATTTGCAGTTGACAATCCGTAAGATTCTCGTGATAAAAATTCAAATCGCAAGGGGAAATTTGGCAACGTTGAAATGTAGTTACGTGATTTCGTGAGGGAGACGACGAACTGACGATGAGCGCGATCCGTGCCAATGTCACGATCGCGCGAATCGGAAATCCGACTCATCGGCGAGGCCTTGCAACCGTGCTTTTCTTCCGCGGAAAATCCGTTACTTGGCTATCTCGTCCGAATGGAACTTCTGTGTTCCTTTCCCCCACCGGTTTGCAAAAAGAGTACCCGGGGACACGTACCTATCCGGAAAAAGAAACGAAAGCAGTGCGATGTGAGTGAAAGTCCAGGAAGTCGAGAAAAAAGAATCCTTTTGTTTTTGATTTACGTTGCATACTAGGAAAACTCCCGGGTGAGACTTGGGAGCTTTCACTTCCGTCCTTAGGGAGACGACCCATGAGATTTCGGATAAAACCTTTTTTCCCCCGATATAATAATTTTACTTGAAATTTTCTGATGTTTTAGATTAAACTAGATTTACTGAAAAACTTGATGTATGATGGGACCGTAAACAGCCCCGTTAAGTCTAAAGGATAATGAATGGGGTAACTCACCCGTATACGGAGGGAACGTCGATGGAATGCGAAGAGGACCGCTTGCGATCGCCGGCCATGTCGGCAAGCCGAGCGAAATCGGTGTCCTGGTCCATGAGCCGCGCCGATTTTCGAGATTCCAGAAGTCGGATCTCTTCCAGTTTTTTCTTCAACTCCAAAGTTCCCTGCAACAGAAAAAACCCCGAAAACATAAAATAGATGCACCAAAAAATATTCAAAGCAAATAAACAAGAACAGTAAACAAAAATAAACAAAACAAAAAGTTGGTCAAAAAGGTTACATCACGAAGAAAATACCTTGCTGCTTCAATATACATATATTTTTTCCACGCTCCTTAAAAAAGTCCACTTATCGGGAGTTTTCTGAAATCCTTGCTTCATCATTCCCTTTTCCTCATTGATCCCCTGCCTGGAACACATTTTGAATACGGGCAAGGACATATTTTCGCAAAATAGGGATGAAATAATTCGAACTTGAGAGTCAAAATGAGGAAAATCTGAAAAGGATGAACTGAAATACGCAGAATCTAACTTAAATTTCACAGGAGTGTCATATGATAAGTCGCGCATCAAAATTACATTCTTCCAAGTCTCTTTCCTCAAATTCATCTCGAATTTCCGTACCTTCAGACAGAAAATCCGTGCATTATCCGTGCTTCCGAAGCGACCCTTCTAAATCCGTGCATTAACAGAGTATCCGTGATTTTTCCGTACAGGAGACACCCCGACGTACGCACACAGGAAACGAAAAATTAATCGAGAATCTCTGCTGCATGCATGCTACATGGACATGACTTGATAAATTAAGCCTCTAAATCCGACAACGGCGCTTTCTCGCTCCGAGCCCTGTGTATAACCTCAAAAATAAGTACATTCATTCACTTCCGCGTGAGTGAATAGAGCGCTCGCATTATGGAAGCTAACAAACGAATAATATGCGCGTGTCGGGAGAATACTCCGAAAATGTTGACTACGTCTGATGAAGCGTTTTTCCGGCCGGGGTCCCCGGTTAAATGAGCAACTGACCTCGCAATTAGTTGAAGTAACGACGGGATTTGTTTAATGCCCCCCCCCCCCCTGGTGTTATCACCGCGAGGTCGTTATTTTTGAGATTCACCGACTTAAATAGATACATTAACTGCATTCCTATTGGTGTAGCTCTGGATCGTTGACGGAACGAACTGAATTAGTGTTAGGATGCGGATTTGATAGACTCGACCGAAAAATCGATGGCACCTGGTCAGTTTTTCAACCTCAATCTATCGGCCGAATTGCTTTTGACCTCAAATCGATGGAATCCTGCCATTTTTTTTTCGAATTTTCGACTTGGAGGATAAGGCGCATACGTGCAGTTTTCGCTGTTCGAGAAAAGCGAGTTTAAAGTATCAAAATGACATGGAGCCTAACGACGGAAAGAAAGTTCAATCTCACATTTTGATGCTTAAAATTGTGTAATAGAGGTGCATTTTTTACAGAATACATTTCAATACTATTTTTAGTTGAAATCACTAATATCTCAATTTTTTTTTCAAAAACTACACTTGTGCGCTTTGAGCCCCCTATGGGAAAAATACCACCTCGTGAGGATATTATACTTAAAATAAAGATCCATAAGAAGCATCCTTGAAATAGAAGAAAAAAACTAAGTGTACCCCGGCACAAATTGCGCCATGACGTCACCAATAAAACCCGCGACTAGCATTTAATTTTTTCTCGACGAATTTTACAGGCTCCCTAGGCAGCGGGTACCATCTCGTCGTGCCGCGCTCGTATAATGAGTGTGATCAGAAAGTGAAAGTCCATTATCCAAACGCCCGTAGACCCCCTGTCCCCCCTTCACGACCGTTTATTGCTTCTCCGAGGGGCCCGCACACGCCAAACTAGAATTGTATCATCAGCAGTGAGGCGCGAATGATCGATCGTCGATATTCCCCCTTTGAAGCTATGGTAAAGAATCGATTACTGATGTATTCGTTGCGAGACATTTGCTTATCGATCCTTTTCCATAGGTTTAAATGGCAGATCATCGATATATCACAATGCACGTCACGCCACGGTATCATCCGTCTTGGTAGTGAAAAGAAATGAAAGATGGGACACTCTATTTGTTGTTGCTGTTCTTACAGCTCACAATTAGACTCGCGACGGCTGAGCGTATGATCTGTTGATGTGTGATAGCGGCACATCGGCCAATTTTACCGGTAAAATATGATCTTAAAATAAACTGTCGCTTCCGACAACTTGGTAGGATACCTGCGGAACGGCTTGTCATCTGAGGTGTAATAGAGGCTGTAGTCACCACTCGCCGTGTGAGTGTCTGATTGCTGGTCTCCTGATTCCTCATTCTCGGTTCAATCCACGTTACGACGGTAGGTCCGGTTTTACCACTTATGATTAGTTTTTTTACTTAACGCAGGAATGGGGGCGGGGGAGGGGGAGGAGCTGACAGCACTTAAAGAGCAATAATATCTGTCACATTCATATAAGAGATGCCGAGGTTCGAAAAACACCGAAAATTCAAGGTTCACGGAATGAAATTTCATGACATTTGATTGTCCTGAAAAGGAAGGGGATTGTCATTCTGCATGCAGTTTTGAAAATGTTGTGGCGGAAGTCCCCTAAGCCCCCCTATCCCCCGCTCGAAGTGCCTCGGTCCGCCTCACAGGAGTCAAAATAGGAAAAGTTGGCCAAAATTTGGGAACTTTAAAAGCCTATATCTTCGTAAATGTGAGTCAGAAAAGTTCAAAGGTGGACCGATTGGGATTTTTATATGTCTTCCTTCAGAAATACCCATAGAAGTTGAAATTGTGACGAAATAAACATCAAAACATACACTTTGAGTCAAAAATGTTGTGTCCGACATCTTCGTCCGCCTGTGGGATGAAGAGATGGGTGAAAAGCGAAGCGGTGCGGTGGCGGGGGGCGATCTCGCCTCAGGGCGAACTTTACTTCGCATGAGATTAACGCGGATATCCACGCAACGCTGGTTGATGCCCTACTTCGGCCGGATAGGTGCCGCATCGCCGCATCGCGCCGGCATCGGCATCCGGGACCCGGCGCGCGGCTCAGCGCAGCGGCCCCGCCTCGCCCGGCTCCGAGCGGCGCTGCACCCGCATTTCCAACCCGTGCCGCGAGCTCTGAGCTCCTCAAAAACAGATCCGTCTCCCAGAACTGGATCCGAGTCCGAGCAGAGAAACTAACCTCAACTTGCACTGGAAAAAGTCTCACGGATCCAGAGTCCAGAATCTTAAAAATTAATACAAGTGAAAATACTCTTGATTCATTCGGACTTTTGCTTGGATCAAAGGCTCAGGCTTAAGAGGCTCACCTGTCGATTCAAGCAAAATCAGATTAAACCAAGAGTTTTTTTTCTTGTCGAATTTTTGAAGAGCTTGGACTCAGGTCCCATGAAACTTTTTTTTTTTTTTAAATATGGAGGTCAGAGGACAACGCTACTTTCCACCGAATGGTGGTTGGTGAGCAACTTTTTGATCACAGAATTCGCGGAAAAATGATTGGTGAATGTCAGGGTGAGCACTCCGCTAGGCGAATTTCCGCAAATTAGGTTAGGATTGCCTAACTGATTACTCGGCTCTTCGGGCATCAGTCATCGTTAGGTAAATCTGAGCGTTGACTTCCGATTTCGAACGTAACTTTTCACTATAGGAAAATCGCAGTAGACAATATGATATTGACTCTGGGCAGACCTCTCGCTGAATCAATTATTCAAAACGGATTCAAATTGGAAAAACCATTGCTGCCAACTTGCGAGAATCGCGGACTATTTTTTTCCCTTAGCCTACGGATGCTGCGTAACTTGGACGGCAGCTCCTGTTCGATTCGGGGAGAGTGTTCCGAAGTTGAAGCGTGATAGCGGCCACGGGAGTGAAAGGAATTGGCTCACGGTGCTAGCGGGGGGGGGCGGCACTTGAGCACCGGCCTTACGGACACGAGCAACGAGCAAGTGAATCCTCGTAGCTGCCGAACTGAGCGCAGCGAAACTAGAGCACAAAATATAGAGGATGCGAATAATACGAATTGGACGCGGCGTTAGTGCAGAAGGAGTCTATCTGCAAGAAACATTACTCAGAGTGTCTCAAAGTCAATCGTGAAGATTTTCAGGATAGATTTTTGCGATGAAAATAGACTTTTCGGTTCTAGAACTTTTTTTAAAAAAAAATCCCCCTCAACAATCCAAGCCCCCGAGAGAACTCCCCTGAAAATACCATTCCAGCTTTTATGAGGTCAATAATGTGTTCAGCGTGTGAAAGAACATGGAAGTACCATTTTTATGCACTTTTCTTCAAGACTTACGTCACAGTCAAGAGAAACCGGGTTTTCGGCTAAAACTTTGAGAGGCTGTGACTAAGGTGTGGGGGTTTCGGAAGTTTTGCCCGTTCCACCCCCAAGAAAATTACGATTCCCCTCGACAACCCCATCCTTCCCAGATTTGATTGAAATGACGCACCTGCTGATATATTCCTCGCACATCTAACAATGCAAATAGACTCATTTACAAATTTTTCAGGGTCCTGTAACCTGTGCGTCTACAAGTGCGCATTACAGGTTGTCAGCAATTTTTCATGGGGGGGAAGGAGGTGGTTAAAACGTGAAAAATTTCTGAAAAATGCTGTATGCATTGGAGGAATGTCCGGTTACGGAGGAAAGTCTTTCCCCTTCCTCCCGGCTCGGCCACGCCACCGAACTGGTGCATTTCGTGGGGACGAGGTGGCACCAAGGCGGCGATCAGAGTTGGTAGCACGAGCGTGGTTTCTCTCAGAAAAATGTAATTAGAGTGGCCACCGTATGAAAGTTCCGTCACTTCCTAGTTGCCGCATCACGCCCGCCAAGCGGCACGGCGGCGCGGTGCGGCGTGGCGTGGCGACCTCGTCTCAGCACCACCACCGACAGATGTTACGAAAGCCCCGTTCAAAAGCTGACTCATGTCCTCGGTGAAATGGACATGCTCTCAACAGGTCGTCATTTGGACCTTAAAATCTTCATCTCCCAGGACTTGGACCTAAATCCTCTCGATTGGTCGTCACTGTGACGCGGAAACTTGAGATCTTATTCTTGTGAGACTTTAGACCGAGATCGTTCGCAAGTTCGTCGTGAGGAATGCAGAAAATATGCACTTGCTTCTGGAGCGCCGAAGCTCCTCGACT